GAGATCTAATATCATCAACTCCACTCAAAAATAACATCGTTATTTAATAACAATAACCATTAATAATTTCTAGGACTATTACTTAGCACGTTCTACATTAACAAAAAAACAAAACAAATTAGCTTAAATACAAATCACAAAGAACCAGTAACAGTCTCTCTTAAACAGTAGATTATCAAATTAACATCAACAAATTCGTTGGTTGCGGGAAAGCCCGTAAACGTAGAACCTACTCCTACGTATACATTATTATTTAAACCTATATATTTATATCTTTCACTACATGTTTCCTCGGGAAACACTACGCTATGCAGTGTCTATACATAAAGAGTATTAAGGTCATGAACCAAATCAACATGACTTCCATACATTACAAACTATCGCAAATGTTATGATTCATCAACGTAAACCTTTATCAGTTTACAAAGCATTATTGAACCTCAAATTATTAGCTACGGTGTTTGTGGGATTAATACAAATACCACGCTTAACTAGATAATTGACCAAATTAGCTAAGACAAGTACAAATGGTTTACTATATTAACTGGGTCTAGAATGCTAATTCTCAAGACATTCTCAACAATAGGTTGCATAACACCGAAAACAACCGCTAGTTGTGACAAGCATGCGCAGACACACACGCACACTAATATGAAACCACGGAAGCACCTGTGCTAGAAGGTGCATGACGTATGGGCACCTTAAGAAGGTAAACATTTAAATACAGAGACTACTTAAGGTACTTGAGTGCGCTTTGGGCTGCCTACGTTTCCAGGACAACGAACATGAGCAAGCGTTCAATTATTAATTATGCAATAAGTGACGTGACAAACACTAACCGTGCTGACGTAATTGATAAAAGTGTAATATAAGCGACAACCGAACTCTAGAGGAAGAGAGAGACATTAAATTTCACAAATAACCATCTAGTAAGTCTCACAGCTTGTTGCATTTAGTGGGGACGAAAAACAAAAGCTCGGTTTTATATTTGAGCTGGCAGGTGGGGGAAGCGCGCCTACAGGAAATATTGTTATAAGAAAGCTTCCAAGGGTTTCCTTCTTTGTTGTTAAGCGCAAAGCTACACAATGAGTTATCTGTGCTCTGCTTATCGCAGGTGTCGAAATCTAATGTTTAGCGTCATAAACCACCGGGCGGAGGGCACTTTCTAGGGATAATAGACAGGTAATAGGCACTTAATCCAACCCTGGGAGAAAGATTTTCGTTAAATCTAATAAAATGATTGGGCATTTTAGCTCTGAATTACTTCATATAAATGGGGGACGTATATAAAGTTTAGATTTGTATCCAGTTTTAAGAACGAAGAACTTTGGAGATAATACGTAATATATTTCACATACTCAGATATGTATAGCTCATTTCCACTTCAAATATGTTGTTGATGTTAACTTAATGCTTAACAAATATCTAATTTTCTGACTGATATGTTCCAAATGATTATTTGCGGGAATAATTAACTAGATCCTGGTATTTGAGGGGGTAATTGACTATAATAAATTATCCTCTCAGGTACCAGGAACGATCCCGGTACTTGAGGGGGTAATTAACTAGATCCTGGTATTTGAGGGGGTAAATAACTAGTACCTGGTACCTGACAGTATAATTTATTAGATCCCGGTACTTGAGGGGGTAATTAACTAGATCCTGGTATTTGAGGGGGGTAAATAACTAGTACCTGGTACCTGAGAGGATAATTTATTAGATCCCGGTACTTGAGGGGAAATTGATTAGATCCCGGTACTTGAGGGGGTAATTGACTAGATCCTGGTATTTGAGGGGGTAAATGACTAGTTCCCGTTACTTGATGAATTAGTTCTGGTACTTGAGGGTTAATTGGTTAAATCTCGGCACTTGAGGGGTGTAGTTGATTAGACACTGCTCCTTGAGGGGGTAATTGACTAGTTCCCGTTACTTGAGGAATTAGTTCTGGTACTTGAGGGTTAATTGGTTAAATCTCGGCACTTGAGGGGTGTAGTTGATTAGACACTGCTCCTTGAGGGGGTAATTGATTAGATCCTGGTGCTTGAGAGGTTAATTGATTAGATCTCGGTACTTGAGGGGAAATTGATTAGATCCCGGTACTTGAGG